CATATCTCTATTTTTCTGTCTAATATTTGGTCGTTCTTTATCTAATTCATTCTTTGCTACTGCTTCTTCAAATTCAAAACTCGTGATAACAGATAATCGTATAAATCTATAAATTATTTGGGTTTAATAAATAATTACTAATATAATAATAAAAAGAAAATTATCTCAAATAAATTTTAACACATGCTTTTCTTCAAGTTGACCTGTTGGTCTATCTAAATTCCAAAGAGGAATACTCCAATTAATCTCATCAAAAGCTGGTCGAGGTATTGGAGGATAGCTATCTTCACCCTTTATAAAAAAAAGATTTTATATTAATAATTAATATATCTAATGATATAAAAATTTAAATTTAAATTTAATTACCTTGCAAATAAAACAAAATAGGTTTGTTTCAGTAAGCCAAACGGGCCAATAAGTCCAATTTATTTCTTCTTCTTTACGATTAATCGAAAGGTCAAGGATTGGTACCCATCTTGCTTGGTTAGATTGACGATGATGGTGAAGGATACTAAGAACACCTTTAGAATCAAATATTACTGGAACCTAATTAAAAAAAAAGTAACTCATTAAAAATTGGCTTTATAATATTAGCAAACATATTCAAAATTTATTACCCCTTCCGTGGAAAATTCTAGCCATTTTAAAGTTGATCCTTTAGTTATTGGTAATTTATCTTTTTGTAAAATTTCATGTGATCGGACATTATATAATATATATCCGAGATTTTGTGTCCCTGAAATAAATATCAGGAAATATTAAAATGTAAAATATATCAGGGAATTTTAATCTTATATAAATTTATTAAGAAATACCTTTATAGCCTACACCTAAATGATAAACAATAAGCACGAATTCATCATATCCCACCATACAAACCACGGATGTTAAGGCAAAAATGTAGGTTTGGACACCACTAAGAGAGAAAAACCTTATTACATCTTTCGATGTTGCAGCGATTATCCCTTGAGAACATAAAGCAATGGCTATTAAAGAATAGGTGATTGGGTTAAGAATTATTTTACACGTGAATATTATTTTAGAGAAAATTTAGAATACTTTTTGCTACCTGTTATATCTTCTCCTTGTGGAAGTGCCAACGTCCACTCGCTTTTTGATGCCCATGAATCTTGTGGTTTATAAAACAATATACTTGGATTAGTTTGAGAATCGGATACTTCACAAGATTCTACAGCATAAAGTGCCCCATTTTTATCTTTAATGACAAAAAAATATTAATTAGTGATTTTATGAGAGATAATATTCCATATGAATATATATATTTAAATTTATACCCAAACAAGCCATAGTATAATTAAATTCATCTCGAAGGGTGTAACCACGATTATGAGACCGATCATGAAATTCTACAGTTATCGTCGAGTAAGTCTCGAGGAACATAGTTGTTATACTTCCGATATGATTCAAAGCTACACGATCGAAATAGCAGGTATGTCATTTATATATATGTACTGAATATATTATTAATAGGATAATAATATCTTTACAAACCTAAATATCTTCGATTATTCTTCTCGGGAGTTGCACCAGGCTGAAAAGGTTCCTGAGGTTTAGTAATATCTAAATTCAAAAAAAAAAAACGTGAAGTAAAAATCATAGATTAAGAAATGTGAGAAATATTTTTTAATTTTTTTAATTTTTTTAAAAAAAAAACTACTTGCCATCAATTCGTTTATCCTTTTTTCTTCCATAATTTTCATAGCCAAATTGATTATTGTCAATCTCATCAATGTCATTTTTATCATTCTTAGGGATAACAGCGATTATATCATCCTCAAGCATATCCCCAGAAGACAAAGCTACAAAGTACAAACATTAACCAAAAAAAAAATAAAAAAAATCTTTTTTTAAAAAAATTGCTAGATAATTATAACTAGTTTATTAGTATTAAATATTTTATTCACCAATATCCTTTTGTTTTTCACTTTCAATGTCATGATTTTTATTATCCGATACAATGTCT